CACCCACACCCACACCCACACCCACACCCACACCCACACCTTCCCACACCCACACCCGCATCCCAATTTTCTGTCAAGGTGAAAAAAACCTTTTGCAAAGCGTAGCGTTCCGCATTGAGCCAAGTCAAGGTGATGGTGATGATACCTCAGTAAATGATAGTCGTTTTACATGTACGGATGGAAAAGAAATTCAAGCATTAAACGGTGCTCCCTGTGGTACTTGGAGATCAGGAGCTGAATGCCCACCAGCAATTGCAATTTGTGGACTTCAAATAAGATTTGAGCGGAGCCTAGGTAAGGGTGATGATACAGCAATTAATGGTGCTGAATTCATGTGCTACTCAACATGACAACAGTATTCTCTTGCTTCTGTAAAGGGTGTTTCATAATAACCGAGGATAAATTGTCAATGACATTTTTTTATGCTTTTTTTGTTGACAAAGACGGCTGAAATTTTTATTACATATATATCTAACTACGGTCTTTAATTGTGTAAAGCTTCAGTTCTGTACCTGAAACTAGTGCTGCCACACATAAAGAACATAGAGGTACATGAATTTCCGCATTTTACTTTGGTGATGTTTTTATTTATAGGCTAGGTAATTTTATAAATACATGATGGAAAAACTTTCCACTAGACAATTGGTTTTAAAACCTAAAGTATAGTAAAATCTATTGTGTACGACTATGCTCTCGGTTGTTCATAATGGCGAATTGTAATCGACAAGCTATTTAGTCAATCCTTTTTCCACATGTAAAAGGTTTTAATTTATGAAAATCATTTAGCTTTTGCTCTCTTTTTCTACTACATTAGCTGGAGCTTTTCATCTGATCGATAAAATATAGCTGTAGACGATCTAAACTCTACCCTTTCTTTTACTAACATCTAGTTTTCTAACAGAAGCTTTCTTTTCCCAACCTATGGTAATCACTAGCATTTTGTCGAATTTCAGTTGTTGAAACTGTAACACAACAACCTCATAGTTTTTTATTATTAATGACCCTACTTTTTCAATATTCGTGATACACAGTTGTTAAGTGATTCTATGCTTCATTTGTGATGGACTATCACAACTTTGAGTGAAGAAAACAATCCACCAATATTACATGTTGTATCGAACCGTTTTAAATTCAATGCAAAAAACTTAAAATCCTTTCTTCCGCATAATTGATGAAAATTTAAGCATCTCTATGTTCTCCATGCATTTCAGCGCTAGTTTTAGGTATAGAACTGAAACTTTGCAAAATTAAAGATCGAAGTTAGGCATTTATGGAGTAAAAATTTCAGCTGCCTGTGTAAAGAAAATATATCAAAAATGTCATTGACATTTTGTCCTCAGTTACTATGAAACATCCTTTCTGCGTGTCTTCATTTTGCTTAATATGTATTTTCCAGAATTACTCCCTTTTGCTCTTATCCATATTTCGCAATCCATTTTTTGAATAAGATTAAATTCAAACTGTAAATGCTTCTTTTGTAGGCATCTCTTGCCATGTGTAACTATACTCAACCATCTATGTCTGAAACCGTTATATTCCTGAATATGAATAATACTCATCAAGATTCTATTTAGATATTTTAGAAGATGAGGAATGTTGCCTAGCTACCATGATTGTGATCGTGGGAGGTGGGATGTGTGTTTAAAAGATATCGCCGTACCACGACAACAGTTGTTTCTATATTGGCGGGACTTCATCAGGTGGTATTTTTTAATATTATATCTACTTAGACTTGTACTTCGTATACCCCCCCCCCCCCCCCGCCAAATAGACGGCCACCCTATATTAGAATGCTACCTTCTGTATAAGGCCATGTCCGAGCAAAAGTTAAAGCGCCCTATTAGAAGGCTATGTACTAATTAACTAATATATTCCAAAATTATCGAAATTTTCATAAATATTAATTAATAATTAAGAAAATATAACCGATTTTCTAATGTTTTTTTTTGCGAAATCCTTCCTTTCCTATCATAAATAGTACAGTTTTTACAAAAAATGGTAGTTTTTTCAGCAAAAAACACCTAAAAAACAATAATTAAAGTTATTAATTAATTATTACTCTTTTAAATGATTTAAATTAAAAACTGGTCAAAATTTGACCCCCAATATAAAGCCACCCAAAAAGTAGCGATGTGTCAAGACACTGTATAAGGGCATGCCCTTTTATTCTGGGGAGAAGGGTAGGTGGATAATTGGAATTACAAATTCCGATATAATAATTAAATTTTTGAACATTTGCACAAGTAAATTTTCGAATAGAATTAACTTTAAACTATAATCTTAGCCGAATACAGTAAGTCAATATCTATTCATGGTGACAATTTTTTGAACAAATATCAAAGATTTCTATTCACATAGGGGTGTGTGAATTCGAAATATCGCTAACCCACGACAACAGTTGTTTCTGTCCATAGCGGGACTTTATCAGATCGTACACTGCAGTAGGTTTCATCGATGTTTTGTTTTCTATTGCGCGTTCGTATCCGTGTTTGTTTTTATTAGCGAAGCATCATTTGAAGTCTTGTTTTTCCAGTACCATTTTGTGGTAGTCTGTTTTGATTGTTGGCTTGTAAGAGTTGGGATTAAGTTTGCGGTCGGTGTTGGTTAATAGCTCGTACCTTATGTGGTGTCGTACTATGATGTAGTATACACTGAAAAAAAAATCCGGATAGTAATCTACCCCTGCACTTAAAAAAATTGCTAATAAACCTTTGAAGGATTTATCCCAATGTGATGAACCCTTTAAGGGTTTATGAGTCGAAGCGTTTATCGGGCTATGGGTTTATGAAAACTGAATGGATATTTGATGGGTATGCAAAGGTTTCTTATTCTACGATTTCAAGTTAAGAGTATGTTCTTCAACGCATGATCGTAGATCATTGTCCGCTTTCATGGTAAGAGTATTTTATTATTCTCTTTCGGATTTATTATTCTACGTCTTCTTTAAGAGGGTATATTATTGTGCCTTTCTGGGAAGAGTATGCTACCCTTCCGAGAAATAGTTTATTATTCTATGCCTAAGGGTAGATTCTTCTACTTCTTGGTTAAAAAGGTTTATTACTCAACATGAGGGGTTGATTCTTGTTCCCTTTTATAGAAGGGTTCTATTGTTCTACCGAAAAATGTTGTTTCTTCTACCTTTACCACCGAAGAGTTTATTATTCTACTTATAGGAGCTGATCCTTGCACTGTTTCAATGGGAAGGGTTTATTACTCTCCGTAAAGGGGTTGATTCTTCTACCCCCTCTGCTTAAAAAGGTTCATTATTCTATGTCTAAGGGTAGATTCTTCTACTTTTTGGTTGGAAAAGTTTATTACTCAACGTAAAGCCGTTGATCCTTGTACCCTTTTAGTGAAGGGTTCTACGATTCTACCGAAAAAGCTTCTTTCTTCTACCTTTTTCGTCGAAGAGTTTATTATTCTACGTATAGGAGTTGATCTTTGTACTCTTTCGATGAGAAGGTTTATTATTCTCCATAAAGCGGTTGATCCTTGTACCCTTTTATTGGAGGGTTCTATTATTCTACCGAAAAAGGTTGTTTCCTCTGCCTTTACCGTCGAAGAGTTTATTATTCTACTTATAGGAGTTGATCCTTGTACTATTTCGATAGAAAAGTTTATTGTTCTACGTTAAGAAACAAATTATTTTATCTGCTCGATGATTAAATAAAAAATAAAAATATCACAATCAAACAGAGCTAACATATGGTTTTATTTTGTCAAAAGTTCAGCACATTAAGAAAATATTTTGTGAGTAGATAAAAATGATGAACAATTAATATATAATTCAATTTAAACAGCTACCGCAGTTTAGCGCCATCTGTCGAATGAGACTCATTTTTTCGAAAAATAAATACACAGTTTGACAGAGCATCGATTCTTATTAATTTCTATCATAAAATTATTTGGGATAGAAACATTTTTTTTAACAGTGCATTTCGACATTGATTGGTGTTTCTTGCATTGTTTTATATCACCAGCAAGCGTACTAATATTGTGTTGTGTGGAGATATATGCAGCGTTTTTAATAGCAATGTTCACTGTTGTTAAACAGGATCTATGACTCTTAAAATTATTAGCTGACACTCTATTTTTCTTCAAACTCCAAAAACCACAGTGCCAAATTGACACTTACTGGCGAATATCGACACTTTGTTTTTTTTTTCTTTTAGATACTTTGAATTCTTTATTCTGTTATTATTTCAGCTTGGTTTTAACTCTGGCATCTCCAGAGTAATAGTTTCATTCATTTTAACGCTGGATCTATCGTCACTTATCGATCAATCTTTACAGTACATGATTTTGATATTCTTTTTGTCTTCGTTTTATCTTTATGATTTTCAATCCAGTGAAAAATTTTCATGATACAATCCGAAGTATTTTGCACCAAAATCATAATTGAAATCAATTGGAATCTTCAGTTATAATCAACTATGATTGAATCAAGACGTGATCCCATTGCTTGTACAGTGAAAGTTTTCTTGATTAAAATCTGATTATTCTGCAGCGAAATCGAAATCATGAAAGTTTTGTAATTATGATTTTGCTGTAGAATAATCAGATTTTAATCAAAACAAAATTCACTGTACAAGCAATAGGATCAAGTTTTGATTCATTCAGAATCGATTATAACCGAAGATTCCAATTGATTTCAATTATGATTTTGGTGCAAAATAATTCGGATTATACCATGAAAATTTTTCACTGCGAAGGAGCTGTTAACAATTAATTTGTTTACATTTATATGATGATAATTCTTAAAGAAGTAAAGAAGCATTTGTTCAATGTATCTGAAAGTTTATTTGACTATTTGGTTTTAGATCAAACGAATCGAAAACAAGTGCAAATAATTAAAATTTGAAGTAGAAGTCAAACCGTATGAACGAATATTTTGATTCTCCATGAAAGTCAACAAGAAAACTCTTATTTATCATTATGCAACTCCAAATTTCTTTTATCCTATATAATGAACGAAATAGTAACAGAAATTGAACTTGTTTTGACTGAATCCTCGTATTCAAGCTAAAATACTATTGACAATCAACAAGCTTCTTCTACCACTAAAGTTGAAAGTTTTCATAAACCATGAAAAAATAATCTCATTCAGCAGCTCATCGTAAATATTTTTCTTCTTGGTATAAGTAACCAGAATGTATGTATAAAAGTTATTTATTTAATTAATTAGGGCAGCTACAACGTGAAAATGTTATCTGCTGGTTTTCTCTTGAAGATAACGTAACACCTAGCTTTTTATGTGAAAAAACGTGGGAAACAAAAAAAATTGCAAATGGGGAGCGATATGGTTAATAAATAATATATATATATATATTCTTTCGATGTTTTAGTAAAA